TATATATATATATAGTACATTCTACTGTACAAAATTGTATTGTGCAATATGAAAAATTAATATGCATTTTGAGATTTGCAAAAGATTACATCTAACAATACTATTAAATTATTAGTGTTTTCAAAGATCTTGAGAAACAAATTCAGCCAAATGCGCAAGGTAAAAAAAAAAGAAGCAACGAGAAAATATATTTTACATGAATCAACCTTCGTCTCATATCATTTTGAAGCCTGCTGGAACTGGTGGCCAAGTATAAATAAATAAATAAACAGTGCCATTAAATTATTAGTGTTTTTAAAAATTTACTTTGACAGCCAAATCTAAATGCAAAAATAAATAAAAATGAGCCTCCACAATTAAACCAATATGGTAAGGTGGACAAGAACCACATCTAGTATGATAACCAATATGATAATGATACAATGTGCATCACTATTTGGCATTAAGAAAATAAGGCCTAATTTAGGACCATTAAGATTTATTGCATTGTCATAAGATAGGCCAAACAGGAAATGCCCGAAACTCAAGTGTTCAACAGGCAAGAGGAAAACGAGCACAACAAAATCAATGTCCCATGAGGATCCTAGTCTCCATTTCTTACCTTTCTTGGCTTTGAGACCTGATGCAGACAGTCTATAGCTGGTCTGAGAATGTGCAACTTCTTTGATATGATCACCTTAATTGGAGGAAAACTGGAGTTCTGTATTTTCAACCCCATTCAGCCTCTAACTGCAGCATTTAGCGCTTGTAAGTAAGCGTGTGTGTATATGCTCGCCGTCAGTGCTAGGGCTGGCCTACTTAAAGCCTCGGAAAGAAAATCTCCTTTGCTGACGTCAGTTCTTAGGATGAAGGCTGGTGCAGAAAGTGCCTGACACAGACAAACTTCTAAATGAACAGCTGCTGATTCATGTGGCAAGAAAGGCCACCTGGAGCAGCAGGCGGACGAGCAGCAGAGCAGGGCTTTTACACTGAGAGACTGCTGCTATACTGACTCAGGTTATGTCAAGTTTGTGAGGATGTGGTCTTAGATTATAAGTGTTGAAATAAAGGTGGGACATGTCAATTCACCTGAAGAAGTTGTGCTGTGCTCCACCTGTTGTCCACGTTCTTATCCAGCGCATGTTTCAGGAAGTCATTAAACTTAGGAGACCTGCAGAAGGATGCAGAGAGAAGTCATTACAACTAAATAAACCTAATGGAAGTACGGGTAAAAAAAAAAAGAAAATCGAAAATAAATAATAAAATAAATTAATAAAATAAATGCATAAAATAAATAAAATTATATTGCATAATCATATTTGTCTACAAAACTAATTTCAGGCATTTAAGCATTTCATTTTTGAGATCATGAGAAATCATTGTTTCCAATAGTGACTTTCATTGATCGCGTATATACACATGCACATTCACACACGCATATAAACACAATTTTTAAATTAATATGAAATAATACATACATCCACAATTTTTAAATTAATTTTAATTTACTGTATATTTAATTGCAGAGGCTCACTTGCCCTATTTCTACATTTAGATTATTGTCGCTGTCATTAATAGCTTACTTAAAGTTAATCACTGAAAACACTAATATTTAATATTAATTTTTAAGTATTAAAATAGGTAAAATACAATGAAAAAAAAAAAATAATAATAATAAAATAGCAATGATATTACGCAGCGCCTGAAAATAGTCCCCAGCACGCTCCCTGTGCAAGCAGGTTGACCACCATAACCATTGGTTATGTTGACGGAAGTTAGCCTATTTTCAGGCGCTGCGTAATATCATTGCGCCTGCTGCACCCATGGTACGGCAGCAAAGTTCCTTGATTATTACGCCGGAATGAGAGTATAGTTCCTAGACATATCGGCCTAGAAAATCGCAACTTTTCATTTTCCGTCGGTCTTAGTACACGATGTAACTACAGAAGAGTCAAGTTTTAAATAGGAAAAATATGGAAACTCTTTGGTCCTTTTTGAGCGAGATGCTAACGGTCTAATCAGATTCAATGATCTATGCTAAGCTACAGCTAAAAGTGCTACCGCCAGACCCGGAGATCGGCTGAATGGATTCGAAAACGGTAAAACACAACTGTTTAACTCTAGGGGAGTTGGAGAATGAGCCATAAAAATTAAACAAATATCTAATTTCTAATGTTTTATATGCCGATTAATTAGGTCTTAAGGAACTTTTGGCTTGTCTCCCGAGGCCACAGGAGGGCGCCATTCACTCAGATTGTATTTAAAAACATATGAGACGCAGTGAAAAGGATAACCCTCCACAAATTCGCGACGTGTTTTCTAAAAGTTTAAACTGTTTTAACTTTGCATGGCTACATCTCTTGTGTGAGACGCGAGTGCAGCAGTCATATTTGTCCGTCTAAAAAATGCGCTATATGTGCGTTCTGTGTGAATGGCTTGGTTTCAGTTTTAACCTAATCAAGATCTTCTCCGCATTGAGCTTCTATATTTCTCTCATATTTTGAATGAATAACGCAGCAGCAGCACGTCTCGTTGGCTAGACTAACAAAACATTCAAATGCAACAATGTCACTTACATCATCACCGCATCTCGTGCTCCACTGATGACGCTAACATTCCTACACCTAACATTCAAATTTTTATTTTAAATTCGACTAATATTCATTCTTTATTCACAATCTCCTCAGCACAGGCAGGCACAGCTCTCGTGTTTGTGTTTGTGTGTGCTGTCTGCGTCACTCATAGCACGTGTATATCGTGCGCTATATCGAAAAAAAATTTCTATCGTTATCGAAGAAGGTGTACCGTCGATAAATATCGATACCGTTTTATCGCCCAGGCCTACTATGGAGCAT